CTACCCCCCCCCCCCCCCCCAGCCTGTCTCCATGGCAGAGGGGCTCCAGCCCTTGGAGAAAATAAGAGAAAAATGCAATTTTACCTGATAAATATCAGACAGACTGCTGCTCCCAGAGTCACTGGCAATGCTACATCCCGACTGGCTTGAGGGGACGTGAGTCACCTGAGGATGAGGGTTGTCCGTAAGATGCATCTTGGTAAGATCAGCTGGAAGCTGTATATAAAACGGATTTGGGGAAAGAAAGGAGAAAAGATGTGTAAGTCTGATTAGAAGACAAAGTTATTCATAAACCTTTTGTTAAACATTTGAATATCCATCTGTAAGTTGACGTACATTTTGAGATGAAGCTAATTTAGGCTAATCTTGCCCAATCACACTTCAGATTTTGTATGACTGAGAGAAAACGATGGATCTTTCCATAAAAGAAAGGCCTAGCTTCTTCACAGCTCACTGATATACACCAACAGGATTAAGAGCGTGTAAGATGACAAATAGGTGATGCCAGCCAAATAGCCCATGGTCTTAAACATTATCTTATGATTCGAACCAATACGAAGCAGAGTTTCTGTTGATAAAAACAATTCACGCCTTAGTTCAAGAATAACCTTTAGAAAACACCAATATAGAACAAAAAGGAATGTGAGCTAAAGAGAAGTTTTGGTCCACAAAATGCTTTGGAGTTTCTTTAAGAAAACGAGCAGAGTATTATGCACGCTTGGTACGTGTCCGCACAATAGTACTTCCACCCTACACACCTCTCTGTAGGTGCACACCCGTATGTAGGCACACACATTGTAGTGCATGACTCGAGCCCACAAACGTGTTCTTTCTATTGAAAGAAGTACAAGTCAGTGGTAGGCTTTTGAGGAAACAAAGCCACATGGAAATAACCAATCCTCTAATTCAGCTGCCCATTTATTTTCTGCCACATTTATTTCCAGTGTTTTTTTTAAATTTACACACCACTATATGGGAAGAACATTGTATCAGAGAATCATAAATGCTAAAATGATAGAATGCATATACTTTTACCATTTATAAACGAAAAAATTATATACTATTCCTTTAAAAAAAAAGTTCTGATGCAGAAAAGTTCAAAACCACTCCGACAGCATCAAGTACCACGATCATAATGAAAAGGTTTCTTCCGTAAAGCAAAATTGCACAGTCGTGTCCACCACTAGATACTCAGGCCTAGAAATTAAAAGATAGTATTGTAGAGATGATGTTGATCCAATATCAACTTTAAAAATACTGACTGGACTTATGAGAAATGGAAACCAGGCCTTCAGTAGGAATTGTGCTTTTCTGTCCTTTTTTTGAAGAGCCCACTGGATTTAGAAATACTTGCTCACATTTTCTGAAACCGTAAGTGGCACTGTAGGTCCCTCCAAACCTTCCCCACTTTCAGAAAAAAACAGGTTGAGAGCAGCTCTGACACATGTAACGTAATTCGGACCATGAAAATTGTTGTGAGGAACACGCAGGATGTTGTGTCATCTGCACTCCCAGTGACACTGGCGTTGGCAACTGCTACTCAATCCCACCATCCTATGGCCTCTAAAACCCAGCACAGATCGTTACTTGCAAACTAACTCTGGGAACTGATAGACTACAAAACTATTTTTCACTATCACTACTCAATCCCACCCATCCTACGGCCTCTAAAACCCAGCACAGATTGTTACTTGCAGACTAACTCTGGGAACTGAAAGACTACAAAACTATTTTTCACTATCCTAATATTTATATTATTCTGGTTTTGTATATATTTTACGTGCAGAAAGAAAGAATGAAATGTCCAACCTGTAAATGAATATCTATGTTCACGTGGATTTGGAAGACAGTTTGAAAAGTGAGAAATTGCCAACTTTCACAAACTCCCATAAAAAAACCCCAAGCAAAAGCGAACTTGATCCAAATACAAAGGAAACACAACACTTTGAAGTCTATGTTTAGCCACCAAAAGGTTTTACAGGCTGGGGAAAAAAAAAAAAAAATCTATTTTCAGAGTTTGAGAAGAGCAAAAAGGTCAAACCACTCAGCTGACAACATTCAATCCGGTGGCCAAAAGGTACACTCGCTCTCTGCCAGCACGCACGGTAAGAGCTGACGTACACCGAGACGTGACCTCTTAAACCACGCCGCCAACATCGTGTTAAGAGCGAAGCAGGAACGTTGGGATTTAATTCTGGGCTGGAGCACTACCAGGGTATTTTTTAAATCCAAATGAATACTTCCTACAGCGCACGTTCTTGTGCCACGTACAGAAAAGCACGCCCCGGACTCGGCAGTGTTGGGTTTACACTTGGACTCTGTGATCTTAAAAGGTCTGTTCCAACCTAAATGATTCCACGATCTACTGCTTCTAATGGACACGAGGCAGAACGCGGCACATTATCTCCCCTAAAGCCTGCGGCGATTTGGACGCTGGTGAAGCCACCGATACTCTAACGCTGCCAACGTGGTGCTGGTGGGGGTCGCTCCCCAGGCTGTCCCCCAGTCCACCGTTCCAGCGCTGTGCAGCAGCAGGGCGGCCGCCGCAGCCTGTGCCGCAGGGTGACATTGCTCCGATGCTCCCTGGAGCTTCACACGTCAGCCGGCTCCTCTGCAGTGCCATCGGCCAGGAGAAAGGCAGGGAGGCACGTACGAGCAAGGTCAGCGCATCCCTTGCCAGGGAGCACGATGACATCCAGCAGCAGCCCGGTACTTGACAGCAAATTGCTAGGCAGGGCTGCTGGCAGCCACTGATACACTGTAGGTCAGTGAAACTGAAAAATCCAGGTGGTTTAGTAAATTATGGAACAAACCAACCCGCATGGATTCAGCACCGCAGCTTAACACGAGCAGTTTTGCAGCCAACTCCTCAGCCTGTGCCCGTCTCCCCATTCCAATGACCAGATCGGAGCTCAGCTTCAGTGAGACTGCTTTCATGAGCAAGTCCCACGCCGACTGTGATTATACAGACACAAGGAAATCTAACTGAAGCTCCCTGCTATCCAGACTCATAATGATTTTCAAACTTTCCAAGGGGATCTGGGAAGAGAACGAGCAGGAGGGATTCTGCAGGATTTCCCCAGAGAACAAGGGCAGATGCCTGCTCTCTACCAAAAACGGGGGCTACTGCAGCCCATTCTGGCTCAGTGACACACACAGGCACACATTTCCATGTCGTTTTTGATCCCTAATTTAGTTTAAACCTTGAGATTCTTGTGACGAAGGCTGTTCTGTACACCTCAGCTGAGAAGTACTGCTGGAACAAGACATGGCTCAAAACAAAGGAAGTTGTGTATGTACTTTATACACCATTTGCACAAATCCACCTCGAAGTCCAGCTCAGAACACCACCAGCCTTCCCAGAGGGCTATTTCTTATCAACTCATTCATCACTCACAGCTGATCTTCATTCCCCCTGCCAGCACTCCCATTCACTTCCATCACCTATAAAGCACACGGGCACGTACGACGCTCCGGCTGGACTCTGCACTATGTCCTTGTAAAAGACATTTAATGCAGGTTAGATGCAAGGAAACACCACAATCTCTCTTTAAATTTGAGAGAGAGATAAGGTTTATTTGAGACAAGTGACCTTTAAAGTGCTGCTTGCCACTCTACTCAATCTCCCAAAATAAATCACAGCTTCTGCCTTTCCTATGTCGTTTTTATTACCCAAACTGATTGTTCTTTCTTTCAGAGCTCACTAAGCAGCCACACACGGCTAGGGTGTTTCCGTAACAACATGACAGCGGATGCAGGAAGGACTTGCTGGATGTGGCAATAAAGTTGCTGAAAGTGCTATAACGTTGTCTTAACTACTGGTGAATAATGGTCACTTATTATTTGACTGATCTTTTTTGTGGGAGAAACTTAGAAACTGTTGTTACAATCGCATCATTCCTTTAAAAATTATGTGTTAGGGAAAGTTCAAACCAGCAGCATTCACCTACGTCCACGTCAGAGGCTCTTGGGTGCAGACATATATCCCTGCATTATTCTCTGGCTGGTTGTGTGCCCCAGCAGCCACAGACAGTAAAACCCCAATCACCTTGATTTTTCACCCGAAAAAACCCTCAGTACAGAAACAGACAGCTTGCCACTTTAAACCATCACAATTACGTTTTCTCACAAGAAGGGACAGTCTGGAATTCGCATACGGATGTGCCCGACGTGCTGGCACAGCCAGTCCTGACATCGGTGCCAGCGCATCCTTGTGACTGACCTTTCCCAACAAAGGGATATTTAGCACCAAACCCCCACCCTGCTGAAATGCCATACTGGGGCTCAGAGCTGTGAGTGAAAGGAAATTAAGAAAAATAGAAGTTACAGTCTGCACAGCCACCTACAGCTCTGCCCTCCCACAGAGTCAGGCAAATACAGTCCGTAATTACACCGAAAACCCCTGAATCACTAAGGGAGATTTTACAGATACTGGAAATTGCAACAGGAAAAAAGGAAAGAAAAAACACTAAGTCCTTTAGAAGCTCGTCCTAATGGCAGCATCAGTCTGTCCTGTCACCAAACCCAGAAGTGACTGCAGCCAGGATTGCGTTTTGTTAGACGCAAGTGAAATTTCGGAAGGTGGGACATGGGGTCCCCCCAACCTGCTCACTGGGACGCAGCAACGCTAGGGAGAGAGGAGGGGAGGGCAGAGGACATGCCAGCCTAAAAAACAGTTCTAAGTAACAGTTAATAAAAAAAACATGTACCAAATACTAAACTCTACCCACAGCCACCGACCGTGAAAACACCCACGAGGTGAAGAATCCAATAGCAAAAGCCAAACTCCTGATTTCATGGGTGCAGCCATCCAGCACCTAAGCGAGGCGTAGAGAAACCCCAACAACTCAGAACACACGGCTAAACCAGAGAAACTACGAAAACCCCTGGAAGCCCCAAACCTGCCGTTTCTCCTGCCGCACAATACAATATGGGAACTCGCAGGTGGGAACACCCAAACGAGGAAGAGCAGTATACGTAACTCCTATCTGGGCAGAAAGGATGCGCAGGTCTTGCACATGCTGTAGAAGACAAATTGCATTGAGACACTGATTTGTAGGTTTGAACGGAGAAGCAGAGCCGGAGTGGGAGATCTGGGAGCAGCACTGATGCTCGGAATGGCTGGAGGAAGCAGAGGAACAGAGACACGCAGTGATGGGACGCTGCAAAAGCAACAAAGCACGGAAAGGAACAATCTCTACTCGTGTTCGTCCTTG